AGGAAGAGAAAGGAAAAGAAGAATAGAAATAAAGAAGATTAACAGCGAAATATATCATATGACAACACACACACACCACAAACAACACCACAACACACCACACACACACACACACACACACACACACACAAACAACACACACACACACAGACACATACATATATATATATATATATATATTATTATATATATATTTTATTATACAATAAGCTATAGTACAGAACACTGTATTAATGTATATATATTAATATAATATTATATAATATATATATATATATTATATATATTATATATATATTTATATATATATAGTGTGTGTACAGTTGTGTGTGTGCATATGTGTTGTTGTATATATATTATATATAAAATATATACATATACAATATATATATGGTTGTGGTATGAAATAAAAATATATATTTATAGATAGAGAAAAAATAAGGGATAGAACCTGATATATCTTATATACACCATTATTCATTACCCCACCCATTAGATGAGCTGCAGGGTGAAGAGTTGGGCCTTGATTTAGCTTATAATATTACATAACCTTTACTAGTAATATTTCCTTAAAGGATAAATAAATACTTTAATATGAAACAAAACATTTTATTTTCATGATTTAATACCTGCAATGTACAATTACAGCAATTAAAGAACAATACTTCTGTAAGATAGCAGAAGAATGCATATATAATTTGTAAAAATAAATACATTTTCTTTCTGTAAAATGTATAGAAAATATTTTATTTTCAGTTACTGTATACCTGCAATTCTTCATTAAGGCAAACAAGAAATTCTTCCATAAAATAGTAGAAAAATACTTAATTAATTAGAAAAAAACTATCTTTCCCTGAAAATGTATATAAATAGATTCATTGAATTATGAGTAAAAATAGTAAGCCTACTCTTTAGTTCAAGACTAGAATAAATTGCAGCACACCTCTATAGGAAAATAAATCTTTCATGAGATTATTCTCTGGTTCAAGACTAAAGAAAAATATCACTTCAATAGAATAATCCTATGCAAATAATTGTTTTGATGAGGAACATATGCACCATACTTAAAAAACAGAAAGCAAATATATCACTTATACATGAAACTCAAAGAACAGTTTCTCTTTGCATAGTTGCAGAGAAATACATTACACTGAGAGCACAATGTTCGTGTTCTATTCTTACATCCTTCTCTGCGACATCTGCGGAAAGAGTTCTTACCATCAATGACTATTGGGAGATGAGATGCACCTTTCTTTCTTTCAGCCCTGTTTGGCAGAGGAGTCAAGCCCTGTTTAGCTGCCTTTGGAGGAGGCTCAGTCTCTGAATCAATACAGTCTACTGAAGAGAGACTTGCATCAGAAATACTCTGACTGTCAGTGGCATGGTCAAAGAAATCACCTGACATTAACTGGTCTGCCAAGATTAATTTGAAGTCTAGATATTGTTTGGGTTTTGACTCCATATCCTTTCTGTATTCCAGCCAACAGTTGGCAGTTACAACATCAAGTAAATGCAATACCACCCTAACAGTCCACTTCTTAGTGCGATTGGGGCTTCTGTAATAGCTGACTATTTGGTCATGAACATCCACACCCCCCATGGCACTGTTGTACTCCCCTTACCACACGGGGCCTCTTTACACCAACATGGGTATTGGTAGCCTTAGACCACCGCTGGCATATATCTTCGTCATCAATAGAGAACTCATTGGAAGCCATTAGTACCAACTTTTTGTCATACCAAGCAGTCACAGCCACCTTGTTATCATTTCGGACTTGGCAATCGATGCCCCTCTGCCCTCTTTGCGCAAGGTTGCTCAGTCTTTAATTTTTGCTTAGCCTCTTTAGGTACCATGTTTTTCTTAATTGTGCCTGTTCCTCGAAGGCCTCTGTCATACAGATCACACAATAAGTTTGAGCTTGTAAAAATCTATCAAAAAAGATACTTGTGCCAGCATCCACACTGCGCACAAACCTTAATACTGCTGCTTCACCAGTTGTGAGGGTTCTGTCAGGTTTAACATTCAGCTTTTCAATAATGGATAGCAATGCTTCTTTAGTTTGAAAAATTTCAAAATCGAGTACCATTCCACTTGGAGAAGCTAGGACAAACATTTTTAACCCGTCTGGGAAGGTTTGCCAGGGACATGTTGCCTGATACTGATTCTACCTCGAAAAGGAATCATGCTTTCATCAATACTGACCTTCGATGGCCTTGGCAACTCGCTGCAACGAGTTCGTACTGCTTCCAACAAAGGTCTTACTTTCCATAACCTGTCACTTTTTTTGTCGTCTTCCAATACAGTGTTATCATTAATAACCTTTAACGAATGTCTGAGACGGAAAAATCTGTCTCTTGCCATTTTATCAGCTATCCAAGGGATCCTAGTTTTTGACTGCCAATACATTCTAATTCTTGGCATCTTTATGATTGACATAGCAAATGTCATTCCTATGAAAGTGGCAATTTCTTTGCTGTTTTGTGTTAATACATGCACCTGTAGTTTCAATTGATTTCATATTTGTATACATTGCAATATCTCCCAAAAAATCCTCACTGACATAAGATAGGAAATACTCAATTGGTTTCAGTAAGTTACAAGCTCCTAAATTTTCTGTTGCATTCTGAGGAGCATGGTCTACGAAAGATTTATTTCGTAGGTAAAACAATCTTCTTGGCTCCCCAGCAGTTGAAGATACAGATATCTCCTGGAGATCTTCTTCAGAATCCGAGTCTGAAGAAGTGACAGCTTCTTCAACTCCAATTAGTCTCCCAGATGACATCACTGCCTCGGGTAGCCAGTCATCATCACTCTCTGAAGTCACTTTCATCAGGAGATCCAGAAAAGACCTAGTCTGACAAATAATGTTTCTCACCCTCAGTCGTGGGCTGAGATTCACTGTTTCTATGATCTCCTGCTATCTGAAGCAATGAAGTGTGATTTGCCATCTCCTGTATGGGAGATGCTATGAGACAAACGTGATGGCTCTGTTCTACCTAAGCTGATTAAGATGAAGTTGTAACATTGCCATGTGTTTTGTCTTGAAAATTATTGGAAAATGCCAGCATTAATCAGAATGGCAGAAATATTATCATACTGATACATTATAAAATGCAATGCCCCACCTCTTCTTAAACGTGCAGCATCAGTTTGTCGAGATGTAGATGGGCCTGGTTCACTACTGTAGCTTCTTGATGATGGTGCACCACCTACAAAAGAATTGTATTTAAGATAATTTGCATCACTAGTTAGTTAAGTTCGTCAAATAAGGTTACCATCACATAAAATTAATAGTATCAAATTTATTGCAGGTATTTAAAACAATAGAACATGCATGATATCCCACCAGGTGAGGAGGTTGACTCACCAGCCTCTTGAGATGTACTTGTGGGGTCATCATGCTTCCTGACAACTGATGGTTTGTCACCTGCAAAAGTAATAATTTTTTATTAAATGTTATAGTTACCCTTTCACACATTCCTGTAAGACCCAAGTGTCACAAGGATGATCGGTGTAATCGTAGGTCACATTCAACATCTATTTTTTCCCATTAATAAATAACAAAATTTTGACAAAACTGTCGGGAAAATGCCCCAAGACTTTCATTATTATATCAGCATTGGAATTTCCGTCAATAACAACAAATATCAAAGTATTTAACAAAAATCCAAAAAGTAGACGAAATTTCAGTCGGAAAAGTCCCGAGAGCACTTATATGATACACTTTTATTTTGCTTGTTTTTGCTAATTTTACACCATCATTTAAGCACGTCAAGCACTTACAATGATGGACTAAGGTTTAAAGTTCAATAAAATAAGCATGTTAAACTTCTACACAAACTGTACGAAGAAAAAAAGGAATATTTACCAGAGCTTGTGGATCTCAGTTTCCGGCATATTTGTTGTCCTCTTGCCAGCTGTGTTGGCTTCTGAGAGGTTTTTAAACCAATCAGAAAGCAAGACGCAATCATTGACGTCACTATGACGAGCGGCAAAGTCCTCTTCCTCGCGCGTAAAGTTCAAAAATCGCTAGAGAAGTTGCGTAATCAGGATGGCTACCGGTCTCAATGGGATATATATATATATATATATATAATATATATATATGTGTGGTGTGTGTGTGTGTGTGTGTTGTGTGTGTGTGTGTGTGTGTGTGTGTGTGTGTGTGTGTGTGCGTGTGTGTGCATTGTTATCATCATTACTATTATTATTGTTGATATTGTTATTATTATCATTACTATTATTGTTATCCTTTTTATCATCCATATGATCATAATCATCATTTTCATAATCATATTTTCAATATAATTATTATTACTACTATTACTCTTGTTATCATTATCATTATTGCTATTACTGATATCATCATTTATATTAAACAACAATGAAAAAATGTCATAATGATTGTCATAACAGTAATAAAGAACACAATAACAGGTATAACTATGCCACTAATGTGATTTAGAAGCGTATTATTTTTGTAACAATAATGGTGACAATAGATGCAAGATAGATCATGATAGCATGATTTGACGTAAAAAAATATAAGAGTAATGATAGTTATGATGAGTTATTGATATCAATATCTTCATCCTTATTAATATCACGATCATTATTCTGTTCTTTTATATTGATATATATTTCCCATTATCATCATCATCATCATCATCATCATCATCATCTTCATTATCATTATTTTTTTTTATTATTATCATTATCTTCATCATTGTTATTATTACTACTAAGGCTACTACTACTAATCCTTTTTTAGTATTTTTATTATCATCATCGTTATCATTATCATTATATCATTACATTACCATTTTTATTATCATTATTACCATTTTTTATCATTTACATTACATCTTTCCTATCATTACTATTATACTATGGTTCTTGTGATAATTATATTATATTACCATTTTTATGATCATTTTATTATCCTAATCATTAGTATCATAACTGTCAGTGTTATTATAATCGTCATTATCATCATTGTCACTATCATTGCTAATAGTACTGTTATCATGATTACTTTAATGCTATGATGATGGTTATTATTATGATAATTGCAATTGTTATCACTACTAATAGCCACAATAGTAATAGTAAGGTTATTTATTATTATAGTATCATCATTACTATTTTCATTGCCATTAAGATTTCATTGCCATCATCATCATCACCATAACTATCATAATTCTCATCATCATTATCATGGTTGTGATTATTACGGTTACTATTACTATTAACATTGTCGTAATAATCAGTCGTCATTATCATCATTCTTATTATCATTCTTATTATTATTAACATTCTTCCTCTTATTATTATTATCATTATTGTTATTATCATTCTTATTAGTATTACTATTATTGTTATTATCATTTTATCATCATTATTGATATAATCATCATTCTTTTCATCATCACCATTATTTTGATGATGGTTATTATCATTACCATTATTGATATCATTATCATCATCACTTATAATAATCATTTTGAAAAAAAAATATGATAATCATTACCATAATCGTCTGTACACAGTTACTGTATCTCCCGTTTATCATTTCCACTGTGATTATATTCGAATAAACTTAATAACTTGAATTATCTTACGTATAATCATTTTTACTGCCAGCCTACCTCTTCACTTTACGGTTTCACTCTCGTTTCCTGACACGTGTTCCTCGCAAGTTGCAATCGATTTTACTGGGAAGTGGAACAAATATAATGCCTGTGAATTATTGAAATTGTTCAATACTTCAATGTATGTGTTTGTGTGTGAGTGCGATTATGTTTATTTGCGCGTGAGTAATTACTAATACGTAATTAATTAATACGTGTAATTTAATTAATACGTGTAATTAAGTAATACGTGTAATAGTGAGTAATTAATAATACGTGTAATTTAGTGTGTGTACCTTTCTATCCTTCAGTCTAATTATTGTTATATTCTAACGAAGGTATGTCATTCAATATGCTTATACATATACACATATATCTGTGTAGATATATCTATATGTATATATATATACATATCTACATATATGTATGTATGTATAAATACCTATACATATGAATACAAATACACATATACATACATACAAATACGCATATATATATCTATATATCTTTATCTATGTTTCTATCTATCTATCTATCTATATAAATATTTGAATATGGGAAAATAGTTAAATATTGCAATAAACACCTTTCATTTGCACAAACCATCTGTACTCATAAAAAAGAACAAAAATACAGCCTACGGGAAAAAGCTGTAGGCTCTTTGTATTGTCCCGTCATCAGACTCTTGTTTTTACTACAGTGTAAGAGCAAATTTACAATATATAATTTTTATTTTGAATTCATGTAATTTTCTTGAATCGCAAGATAGGGATATTATGCATCATTTTTCTTCCGCTAACGTACACTTTTTTTTTTTTTTTTTTTTTTTGGGGGGGGGGGGGGGGTGCTCAAAAGTCTCCTTTTTGTAGACTTGTGATGATGAGAATTATGGATGACCCCTAAGACATGCAAATGATACAGTGTTTATAAGTGACATGAAATCAGGCACAAGAGATAAGGTAGGAAATAAGAGTAAAAATAAAAGGAGTTATTTATACAAAAAGATTGAATGTGTGGATGTAAGAAAAAAAAAAAGGAAAGAAAGAAAGAAAGAAAAACAGCCGGATATGCCAGATTGTCATTTAACAGTTGAATAGACGGCACTAAAGCAGGTTGAGACTTGAAAGTTTAATAACATCAGACGGAAGAATTGGCAGCGAAATAGAGAAGATGATCGGAATATCAACATGGGAAAGATACTAAAAAAAGAAAACAAAAATCAATGAAAACAAAATTAAGACTTATAAAGCTACATATTCCAACCTTCACCTACGGCAGTGAATGGTAGACAATATGACAGACTGTGGAAAGATTTACAATCAGTTGATTTTTTTTTTTTTTTTTTTTTTTTTTTTTTTTTTTTTTTTTTTTACAGAAGAATGCTCCAAATATCTTTCAAAGATATACACGTCAAGTGAGGAAGTGTTAACGAACGCACGAACAGAATGTAAACTGCTCCAAACAATCGAAAATAGGCAATTATAATCTTTAGGTCATGTTTGGAGAAAGGAAGAAAAAATGGAAAATAATAGAGTGACAGGAAGAATAGGAGGAAAAGGAGCTAGAGGAAGACAAGAGACTAACTTTCATCTCAAGTTACTGGTTGAAGATAAGCAGGACTGGATAAGAAAAGCAAAAGACAGAATTATTGAGATCCATGACAGCAACGGTCTGGGGAAGAACAAGGCATTTTAGAGAGAGAGAGAGAGAGAGAGAGAGAGAGAGAGAGAGAGAGAGAGAGAGAGAGAGAGAGAGAGAGAGGAGAGAGAGAGAGAGAGAGAGAGAGCTGAATATGATAATACAATAATGATAATGATCATAATCATAGTAACAATAATGAAAATTATCAATGATCACAAGTATGGTACTACTAATAGTAATAATAATGAAAGTAATTAGTAATTAATGATAATGATAATAATAATAATGACAATACAAGCATTCATAATGAAGATGATAGTAATGATAATAAAGAAAATAATGATAACAAATATGATAATAATCTTAACAAGAACAATAGTAATAATTGACGATATCATTGATAGCAGAACTGAAATAATAATGATAATAATGATAATCATAATAACAATAACAAGGTGATAATAATAATAATAACAATAGCAACGGCAACAATAATAACGATAATAATAACAACAGCGATGATAACGATAATAATAGTAATCATATTAAATAACAAATATTAATGATAATAACAAGCAAGATGAATACAGAAAAAGCTACGACACATGAAAGACTTTTTAACATTAAAAGAAAATTCGTTTAATTTTTTCCGTTTCTTTTCTCATAATATCTAACTCTACGTCATGTTTTTTATCATCTGTGCCTTCTCTATTCCCTATTTCATTCTATTTCCTTCTCTGTGAGATAAGCGACACAGGAAAACGATTCACTGTACAGTGTTTGTTCAATAAAAAAAAATAAATAAAAAATAATTTTAGGCTCGTATAGATGGCGCCATATTCAGATTTGGTTAGGTTAGGTTAAGAAGCTTGGAGGCTTTTATTGAAGTGGAAATAAAGGTCTTATAAACTTTCAAAAAGGTGATATAACATAATCAAATGAATGATTCGTATGGAGAGATTTACAGATTATTGTTAATGGGCTCCGCTATATCAGTATGATATAAAGAGTTGGATCAAAAGATAAAGCAGGATACATGATAAATTGTAAACAAAAGAAACAATTGTTTGAACAAAACACATATGAGAGAGAGAGAGAGAGAGAGAGAGAGAGAGAGAGAGAGAGAGAGAGAGAGAGAGAGGAGAGAGAGAGAGAGAGAGAGAGAGAGAGAGAGACAGACAGAGAGAGAGAGAGAGAGAGAGAGAGAGAGAGAGAGAGAGAGAGAGAGAGAGAGAGAGAGACAGAGAGAGAGAGAGAGAGAGAGAGAGAGAGAGAGAGAGAGAGAGAGAGAGAGAGAGAGAGAGAGAGAGAGAGAGAGAGAGAGAGAGAGAGAGAGAGAGAGAGAGAGAGAGAGAGAGAGAGAGAGAGAAGAGAGAGAGAGAGGAGAGTGAGAGATGAGAGAGACGATGAAGATGAAAAAAACAAGAGAGAATAAATCGCGTGGAGATCCTGCGGGAAATAATGTAAAAATGCGAAGGTAGAAGAAAGGGCGGCCGACCTACAGCAGCGTGGGAGTACGGCCCTAAGATATATACTTTGGAACACCAAAATTAAGTCGTAAAAACAATGAAATATATATTTTTCAGGATAACTTATTTCAAATATCTAATTTCGCTTATAGCTGGCTGCTGTTTAGCAATTTGTTTTTTCGCTCTGAACACTTGAATTTGGTTTATATCCGTTACCCTCCATAATCATAT